CACAGTAATGTGAAGTAGGGCTGTCACAATATCAGATTTTCTCTACACAACTATCATCGTGACATCTATAGAAATTAAAATAAGATTGAATATTGCTATCAATCAAATTAATCTTTGTTTATTGCGCAGTTTGTCTCTTTTTTGGCAAATAAATGACACTTAAAATAAGAAAGGAAGGGAGGTGGAGAGTCTGTAACCCTAATTGTATATGTATAAAATAATTTCAGAAGCACTACATTATTTACACAATATTATCATATGTGTAATTTTACACACTGACCATATGAAAGTTCAGTAAATCATACCTGAACATCCCAAGCCTGTTCAAAGAATAGAGTAAGTAGTCAGCGATAATGTCTTCACCCACTAAATGGTCCAGAATAGTTCCTGGAGAAGGAAAATGTATTTAAATATTTGTTGAGCACATAGGAAAAATTGCATATACAGACAATTGTGACAGCAATTAAACACAGCACAACAATGTTTCCACATGTTGTTTCTTAAATGACAGTAATCGTTATGTTGGTCAAAGAAAAGAGCAATAATCCTGTTCTGCTCACCACATAAAGCCAGCTTCATGCCCGTTTCAACACTCTCAATCTTAGGAGGCAAGACTCCCGGTGTGTCCAACAGGTGCATTACAGGTCGTTGACACACCTGAGGACAAAGACAGATACAAATACTTTGCAACACTATGAACCCATGAACACACGAACATACACAGTGACAAACATGTGATCGACACTCACCTGAATTCTAGTCAGGACCGCTTTAGTTATACCTGGCTCCCCACCTACTCGAGATGCACGACCTGAAAACAAATCTTTATTACTGAGGAGATGATTACACCGAATCAACGTCCAACAACTATCAACTACTTTATTACACAAACCTTTTTTCAGGTTTGTTCTTCTCAGGGAGTTAATAAGAGATGACTTCCCTACATTGGGCACTCCAATCACCATCAGGCAATAATTTGTATTCTGAAAGATTTACATGACAAGGTTAGAGCACAGCCAACATATTGACCTCCAATACCTTACAAATAAGAATACTGAGGAAAAGACTGGAAATAAATGGTTCCATGTGGAATACGGTTTCGAGGCCAGATAGCCCTGACAGATGTAACATGCGTACTACTCTCAAAGTTGCCACCAAAATACATTATTAAACTGTCTGGAGTAAGCATACCTCATCTCTGTTAAAGCGTGGTTTGCTCTCAATGATTTCCACCACCATCGGCACCAACTACAGAAAAAAACAGGAACGATTTGCACATTCATGCTCATAATTTTTTATTTTATATCTGCTGTTTGCAAACAGTCAAATGTTGAGTATTCAGTGAAGATGACTTTTACCTTTTTGATGTTGTCATCTCTCTGTTTCAAACAGTCTGTGAAGAGAACATTCGTCACCCCCTTTTTTTCGAGCTTCTTCAGGATTCTCTGCGGGGCAAATGTAAAGATGAGATTTTATGTAAGTGATCTATAAAAACGCTGATGACGTGTGGCTCTGTGACAATAGCAGCAAGACTGTTGACCTGCTGGTTGGACAGATCGGCAAGGTCCATCTTGTTTAGAATTAGCAGGTGGGGTCTGACATCGAGCGTCTCCTGAAACGCAGGGTTTCTTCCAGAGAAGGGGATGTCCACAATGTTAAAGACAAATCAAACTGTTCTGCTCTCACCTCTCCAGTGAAAAGATGTACAATGCTAGGATCTTTAACTGAAGTTAAGAAAAGATATCTCAATGATCCCTGTGTCCCCCCTATGGCTTTTAATCTACGCTTTCCTGCTGGTTGTATCAAGATCAGTATTGAATCAAAAAGGTGATTTTTTTTCTCTGCTCTCTCTTATACAACAGAATCATTTTAATGTGAAGATTGTGGCACCTAGAACAATCTTTATCCTGATCACACCTTTATGATTTGTTTTGTAATTTTCTCTCAATGTTATTAGTTGTGGTTAGTTATTACATTCAAGTGATGACATTACGATATTTCATTTACACATGTAATCAAAAGTAGGATGCCACTTTGCGCTGCTATATTCAGACGTTAATGCAGTCAACAATAAAGGATATTCTGGCATCATGGATTTCTATGATGCAGTCGACACTCTTGAGGCTGGCTCTCATCTGCTTGAGTCCTGCAAATGGTCAGTTGAAACTATTATTATAGCAAATATGTGACCAGTAAATTACATACAGGAATGATTGCTTTACACACACACACACGCGCGCACGCACACACGCACACACACACACACACACACACACACGCACACACGTATATTCCAAATGCATTATTTGATATACTCTGGAGATAACTTAAAGAAAAGTTGTCACCTTTAGCCATGTGTCCGGGGAACCAGTGAGCCACATCCCGTCCACCAAAGTCAAAAACAGTCCTGAACTTGCCGACATTGCAGAGCGCGTGGTACAGTTTCATGGCTGCTGTTCATCTACTTATGACCACGTCTGGCTTTTGTCTGTGTTAATGGAAGTCGTGTTTTCACCGATTAGCGACAAAGCATCTTGCTGCTGGACATTTTGATGGTGTGCTTCACTGTTTACATTCCGACTCGAATCTGCCGTCAAACAACATCGTTCCGGTGACTTCTTCTTCTTCTTTTTCTTCTGTTTTCTTTTTCGCAGTGTACACGCCAACGATGCATCACTGCCATCTGCAGGATAAAATAAAAATGAATTACTTATCGCTTAATGATTATTTCTTGAACCTGTATCGCGCAGGAGCTAAATACCCGCCTTTGTAATGAGTTGATGCTATCAAATGATAAAACACCACGTCTCTGTTAGTCTTCTTTTACCATTAATGGCGGCTGCCTGCCAACATCAAGGTGAACCTACTATGCTGGAGGGTTGGCCTGAGTACCACTTAGTTAGCCCTTGAAAATTCTTATTTTCTTATTCATTGGTCTCGTTTATTTCAAGTAACGTGCTGTCAAAATTCCTCACCCAAGGTTACATAAAAATCTAAGATTAATTTCCTTTATTCCATACCTTTGGATCACATTAGGTAGTTACTAGCCTATTTAAAGGAAAACATTTCATACAGTATGATGTTTCCCAAGATCAACCTTGTTCTGTTCTTGGTGATGGCTTTTACCTTTTAAAATCCAACATAAATATGGATTTTGTGCTTGCAAATCCTTTTTCTGACAAAATAATTTTTGGGGGAAATTTGTGTCAGTGAGATCTCACTGTGCAGCGTTGGCTTGTAAAGTTAAGTTTATATTAATTAAATCAATACTTATTTAAGGTTCTCCAGTCCAAACCCTCTTTCTATGGCCAAGCATGTTTCATGATATTGTTGAAGAAAATCATCATGTAACTTAGGATTGAACTGAACACATTTGTTTCATAAAAACATTCTTAGGAAGAGATTAAGGCACGCCAGACAAATTGTAATCTATCCCTCCAATGTGTGTCCAAACATTTCCCGTACACGAACTGTGTGTTCTGCCAAAAGGTTATCTCGACCCAAACGAGGACATGAGAGCACGACATAGTGAAGAAACCAGGGTGCTCTGTTTGTGTTCAACCCACTGGTTTGATTGGTGGGAAGTGACTTAAGGGGGGTGAGTTTTGACTATAAAAGTAATCTGTGAAAAGTAATGCATTGGATTTGTTTGGATTTGCTGAACTCGTATGTTGGCTTGTGCTTATTAAAACACTGGGTTGCAACTTCAATTCGCCGTCTCTTCTCGTCATTTTGCCACAACAATATCATTCAAAATTAATTATAATCTGAGAACCTGGGTTTCAGTTACAAACACTAAAATATAATTTTTACATATGTAAGATGAAACTTTATCATTTTATTTGCATATCAATGTAGGAATAAATTCAGTCGTTGACTTCAGACAGAACTGTTCAAATAGTTTATTTCAAAAATATATATTTTATCAATAGAATCTGATATTTCATTCAATGAACAAAAAAAATAAGATCAGCAAAGCATAAAGTTGAAAACTGCATGGATTTCAATTAGTCATGAAATCAAGACAATCATTTGATCAAATCACCACAAATTCTAACAACTGTATCATTAAGTTGATTTGTAAACCGGATTACTGTGCAACTTCAAACTTAATTTTTTCTTTGTGTTCTATACAAAGAGGCCTTTCATCAGGATTTCAAAGCTGTATCCTTAACGTATTTAATGACAATGTCATTACTGTATCGATTACTTTTGTTTCAATGCAATAAACAGTCTCTTACTTCACTGGCCTGGGCAATGCCTTACATAAACAGCAGCTCTCCTCAATCCTCCGAATCAACTCAGTTTGAAAAAGATTTTAGCCATAAATCTGATCAATCTTTTTTTGTCAAAGAAACATAGATTATTTTAAAGCTTTGACTTCGGCGGCTCACATGGACTAATGGAGGAGTAGTGAGAGATGAGTCTGTCAGCTTCTCTCCACCCAGTGAGAAGAGCTCCATGGACGGTGGAGTAGTAGTATGGATGAGTAGCCTCCCCAGCAAACAACACCTGCAGGGGCTGAAACAGACCAAATAGTTTCAAAGAGTCTTACACCTTGGTTAATTATGTGTGAATCTTTGTTTATGCTCAGTGCACACATTTGTGTTTCAGTATGAAGATGTAGGTACCAGTGACTGTGATCCCTTCGTAGGCAGGGGCTCCATCATGTTCTCCAGGTCCTGTTCCGAACAGCCTATTGCTGGGTGACTGTACGATCCACATGTCCAGGGGTCATGAAACCACTGGGAGCGCAGGACTCTCCTCGGGGTGATGGTAGGGTTTCCTAAACAYACACAGTTAGTCTGCGAGTGCTGACAGAGATCACTCTAAAATAACTTTTATATGGAAACATTTTTAGAAAATACAAAGATCCTGCAGAGGAAGTAATGCACTCTGAACTGTGGACAACTGTTGCCCAATGCTTGTGACGTATTTAGCATCACCTGTAAATCTGCGGATGAGTTGGGTGACGGTGTGTGTGACCTCTTGTTCAGATGCACACAAGCGCACACACACACACACACACACACACACACACACACACACACACACACACACACACACACACACACACACACACACTATTTACAGTTAAACTAGTTGTCCATGTGATGACGATAAAGCTTTGGAGTTGGCTTTATTTAGCTTTCTAGTGCTGGCTACCAGTTTAAGTTCAGAATCCGTTAAAAAAAAGTTATGGATGAATTGCCAAAGTAGCAAATTGAACATGAATTACAGGAGAACTTTAATCTCAACATACAACTTCTTGAGATCCTGTTAAACATCAAGATTAGAGCAATCTTTTACATTAACTGACAAATTAAAAATTAAAAGTCATATGTGTGGCCCTGGAGGCTGTAACATTCACTGCATACATTGCTAAAAATGGAGACACTTCTCTGCCAGTCTTACAATTAATGAGTCAACTTGTACAGTTTGGCCAGAAGGTGGCACTACAGGAGAAGCTACATTGATTCCTCAATCCAAAGAGTGTTATCCTCTGTACAGCAGCCAAGACATCTCAGTTTGCCAGGCTTTTCTGTGCATTTCCTGTGTGTAAAGCAGTTTTTAATTATACATTTAAGTAAAACAAGTATTTCTATCCATTTTCATCCATACTAGTGATCAGGAGACAGCTACAGGTTGAGACTCACCTGTGAATGTTCGGATGAGCTCTGTGATGGAAAGTCTGACCTCCTGCTCAGGAAGTGTCTCCATATACTCTGACTCACGCCCAGCGATCCAGCCACAGAGAACATGGCTATATCTGAGAGTTAAATTAGCAAGAGGAGTCAAGGCTTTTCTTTGCTCTCTAAATACAGTATGTTTTACCCTGGAAACTTTAAATAGGGACGAATGAGCATCCGTCACGGTTCAGGTGCCTCATATGCTGCTGACCTTTCAGAAGGTTTAAGCACGGTGAATGTGGACATCTTCCTTATCCAGGACTTGTTTGACACTTGGTCCAAAACATCCTCCTGAAGAGACAAAGGATATAAAACAGACTGTTTGTGTTGGTGTGCATTTATAATCAGGTGTTGTTTATTTACCAGTGATATACTTATTAAGAAATGATGCGGTATTTGTAGATGGAAAAAAAGTCAAGACAGTGTGTTTACCACTATTTTAAAGAATGAAATAACATTTAGAAGCTAAATGTATTATGTAGTTCAGGGCTGCACAAACCTCATCCTTCCACACCAGGTAGATGATCTGACATTCAGCATCCCACCACGGTGATTCAAACTCTACATATATTTTGTTGCATGTTCCAAATCCTTGTCTCTGGACGGAGCTCAGCTTGTGTGCCGGTAGAGGAGGACAGAACAGGGTTGAATGGTGCTTCTTGAGGTATCCTGAAAAAAAAAAAAAAAAGAGTTCATGCCAATAGGGGCGGGTGGGTTAAGATATTTTACCATACCACTTATATGGTATGGCAACTCCTTTATATCTGGTTATACTATAACATTGTGGCAAAGTTGCAAATCAACGAGCAGGACTATTTTTGCATCAATGTGATGAAGTAATTTGATTTGTAGAGGATAAGAATAGAATAGAAGATCTTATCCATATCGACCAACCCTACTGTATAGCCAAAATAATGTTGCCTAGCCTATCACCCCACAACTAATAAACTCCTCAACTTTGAGAGATGTCCTAATGTCTTATTTGCAATCATTCAATTCCATGCATTGAGATGAACAATAGTACAGTATGTGTGCAGACGTTTACCTAGAGGTACTGTGACAATAACATGATCAGCAGCGATCCTCTGTCCATCATCGCACTCAACCGTGACAGTGTTTCCTCCGCTTTCTGTGTTGTTCCAGTGGACACAACGAACAGGCAGATTGTAGGTCACTACATCAGTGGGGATCTCCAACATCAACTTCTTGATTAGGTCTTCAAAGCCACTGTAAGAAAAAGGCATAAATAAAAGTTACGTAGATGGATTTGTATAGCACTCTACTGGACTTGGACATTTGTCTTTCTCAGTAAGGCTCATTTTCAGCACACAAGGAGGACCAGTTTATGTCGGTATATTTTACCTTACGAGAAGGCGATTCAGTGAACAATAGAGCAGAGATCCCCCTGCAGCAGAGACTATGTCTTTACTATATAGTGCACTACATTTACTGTCTGCCATTTTATTTGAGTGTCTAAATTCTGAGTGTGTAAACTTATGCACTATATAGTACCCTGAAAAATTCCATAAAAGAACAAAAAAGTAGTTTACATGGCACGTTGCGCAATTCTAAAGCTGTCAAGGATAACACAAAATGATGGGGAATAGTCCGTGTCTGAAATCTCAATTTACTGCAGGTCATATCTATGTCCTCCAACATCAACACTAGGGGGTGACACTGTTTCTTGATAGCAGAAAAAGAAAGTTGTCACCCTCTGGTGTTGATGTTGGAGGACATGGATATGACCTGCAACAGGAGGCCCTCCAGCTAACTGACACTTTAGCACTGCAACGTCCCTGGACTTTTGTTGCATGTAAAACCCATTTTCTTTCCCCTCATGTTTCCTGTCGAAGTTTACTCTGTTTGCTACCGTTAAAAAAAAAAGCCAAAAAGTGTCCCCAAATCTGAAATAAATAAATAAAAGTGAACCGAGTGAAAAAAAGAGCTGAGCAGAGAGCTTAAAAAACAACTATTAATACTTGTTATTTAGAAGGCTGTAACTCATTATCTTTTAACTGCTGACTATTTTCTCTATTATCTATGAATCTTTTTTTTCTGTATGTAAAATAGTCTTATGGTGTGGTGCCACGTAAGACCCTCGTCAGAGTAAACCAACAGCAATATAATATATAAACATATACGTTACTGTAATGTACAATCGCTCTCATATGTGACAGTCACGTATTTGTTTGTACCCTTAATTTGGCGTGTATGAATATGCTTATGAGATAGTTACTATAAACCCTGGTAGTGTGCAGTCCAGTCCAGGTAGACCCTTGTAGATATTAAATCCCACCAGGTCTATCTCATCCATGGTAGAAGACGCATTGGCGCAGCACTCCGCCTTCAACATGCTACTGATGGCACACAGAAGCAGCTCCCTGGTGCTTTTATCCTCATCTTTCCACCTCTCGGCTGCTTGCTGTCGTGCCTGCACACAGTACCAAACACCCATCCAAAGCTTCAGTTCATCACCAAGAACTTCTCAGATCTTCGCAGCAGAAAAATAATTTTGGTCACTTAAAAGATAATGTATATACCTCTGACCGTATGAAATGTCCTACGCTGGCCCAAGGTGTTTCTTTTTGATTCTCAAATTGAAAAGTATCATCCAATAGCTCATTGAACATCTCCAGAGCAGGTTTCATGTATTCAGCACTGAGCTTCTGACCTGCATATCACCCACGGAATATAAAACATTTGTAACAATAACAGTATGTATTTTGCACAGAGTAATCAATAGCAATACACTGGACACATTATACCATTACATAGGATCATTTGAATGCACACATTGCCAAATAACTTTAATTAGGGAACATGATGTGTTAAAACAGGCTGATGACAGATTGCATTTGACCTGAACTGCTGAACCAGTTGGGAACCCAGAGAGGACGCTCATCAACGTCCATGGCCTGGTTCTCTGGGGTGAGGGCCTCTGGATCCAGGAGGCCATAGTCCTGAGCCAGACAAAACACTGGGTTTTCCTTGGATGGACCGTGGATATAACTTGCACCGATTTCTGTAATGTTATTACCTGCAGAGAACAAAAACAGGATTGTAGTGAGTGAGATACAGACCAAACTGAAATGAACTAAAACATACAACAGGGATGAGCTCCATAAAAAGGCTTGGCTATAGAGATGGGTTCTTTTGTTTTGCAGTTGGAGCGGGGGATGGATACAAGGTAGAGATTTGAGGATTGGAGTGGTCGAGAGGTAGAATAAAGAACCATTAGATCAGAAATGTAAGTGGTGGGAAGGTCATGCAGTGCCTTATATGTAATGAACAGGATCTTACCATTTATTAGAAATTGTACAGGAAGCTAATGGAGGAATGCAAGAACAGGGGTAATGTGGTACTGATGGCTAGTTCTAGTTAATAACCCGGCAGCTGCATTCTGAACCAGCTGTAAGCAATTTACAGCAGTTTATGCGTATAGAGGGAACTACAATAATTCAGACAGGAGAAAGTTAATATGTGTAGAAGACAAGATGCATCCGATTTTTGGAGGAAACAGGGGAAAGTTTCAAGAGTAAAAGATGATACCAAGGCTCTATTATGCAGCCTATCATGTAACAGGTTAAATTGTGTAGTTACAGAGAAAATGTATATTAATGATAAAAGGTTTTACTTTGTGACAGACTCTTATTTATTTTAAAAATAATCTACACGGTTACACAACTATCATGGGTGTGACAATTTGTTCCCACTGTATATCTGCTTAAGCCAGTGGCTCAGCATTTTTTTCAAGTGTTTTTTTTAGGCCTGCAGATCCTCCATACCTCCATATTCACCACTAACAGTCAAAATATGAATTTCACATCGTCAAGTGTGATTTCTGATATGAGCAGTATACTTAAATTGCACACGCAGTCGCTCACCCAATCTGTCGGTTTTTATTCTTCCTCCGCTTCTCGCAGTCGCTTCAAGTATGCGCACGTGACGAAATCCAGCGTTAACGAGGCGATGTGCCGCTGCTATACCTGCTATCCCGCATCCTATAATAACTGTCTTTGGGTCCGCGGTCACAGCCATACTCGCTTCGCTTCAAACAAATAACGTTAGGCCGCTATCCTCACCTCAACACAATCAATAGGATGTGAATTACCTACTTTCTTATATGGACTTCTTCCTTAGTCAAAGTCCAGTTGAAGTAGGCGGACCTACAAAACGTCATCACGCCGACTCCTCCACCTTCACAGCCTCGTGGTGTATGCTCGCGCTCATGCGACCATTGTGTAGTTCGTTTATAGACTAACATTAGCTTTTTACTTATGCCGTTTGCATTCACGCTCAAAAATCATAAAAGTGGTGTTCATTTGTGAAAATTATCTTACTGAAAAAAATTTGTAAATGTCTTAAACTTGAGTTTGACAAAGAGTTTATTTTCTGGAATAATCCAATTGACAGGGCTGCTCAAAGGCGGTGTATTCGCTGGATGTGACTTCCTGGCTGTTTTCATGGAGGAGTGTTCCTCCATTCATTATTTCCTCATCTGTCTTAGTCCTGGCCTTCCTGTGCAATTCTGTCAGGGAAATATGTTCATATCTCAAAAGCAACGTTCTCAACTGCTGTGAATTTCTTCTCATAATCAATCAGTATGCCACTGAAAATTTCAGTCACTAGTACATAGCATTACAGTATAAACAAGTACATAAAAACACACATGACTTGAATAAAAATAACATTATTTGATGAGTGGCTAACTTGCCCTTGTTGAAAAAAGGGTGGTGTGTTACTACAACATTGGCTGTATGAGTGTTGTCTCCAGGCATGGCTGACTGCTCCATATTAAATTTGGATGCCTGCTTAGCCTGCTTTTCTTTGCGTCTCTTCAGGTCAAACACAGACAAGTTACCACACTGCACTAATATTACACCTCCTGTCAGAACATGTGACCTTGTTGACATAACAAATCTCTTAAGGCACCTTTTTGAAACAGCTTTTGTTGTGCCTTTTCCACAAGCAGTCGGTGTTCTGGGACCAGTTAAGAGCGTAAAGAATCTGGATGCTGAGGAATTCACTAAATGGTGACAAGCGTTGTCCTAGTTGTCATCTGCAAATTTAGTAATCTGATATTTTGCAACACAGTCATTTAAATACATGTAAAGCAGCACGTGGACTGAGACAGAAACCCTGTAGCGCTCCTGTGCTCACAATATATACAGTGTGTACGTATGTAGTTTTGCAGTTTCTGTGACCGATGCACCAGCAATTCAGACTTCTTGCCTAGCTATTTAAGTCTGAAATATTTGCTGCACAAGTTCCCAGCGCAGTCACAAATATTAATAAACCCCTCTGGTCTCAAATGGTTATTTGATTAATCAAATACTGTAGCAATAATGGTCAAGGTTGGTCCACAAAATATTACATCAGTTTTGCTGTTTGTGAAACTGTGGGAAAACGGAACAGCCCTTCTTTCTCAGGATACCCTTATTGTGTAATGTTGATAGGTTAACACACACGCACACACACACACACACACACACACACACACACACACACACACACACACACACACAAAGCTCATGGGAACTAGCTGGCAAATAGGGTCACGCAGAAGAACAATGCTAATCTGTGCTCCAGTCACCGTGGAAGTACAGGAAATAATAAAGATGGCTGATTTCTTTGTGGGAAGTCCGAGCTGGGTATTATGTTTGGTTTCAGCAGAGATCCAACAGCATTTATAAAGGCCACTCTAAAACAGATTTATTACATAAAAAGGTCCAAGTCAGAGAGTACATTACCAAAAAACAGCTTGTATCAATATTCAACTTTGCAGTAAGAATCTTCGTACAAAATGCAAATATATTAACAGTAGGTATATCACAGCAGTGATACAATTCAAAGTAATACAGTAACTTTAACAGATCATACAAATGATTCTAAGAGTAGAAGCACATTGGTGTATGATATGGTTCTATTACAGCCTTGACTTTTACCCTTTTACCTTTACCTCTAACATTTACTACAGTTGTGGCAAATGATCCCACAGTAAATCAACAATCATTAGTGTTGAACCCCCCTCACACACACACACACACAGGTTACATCAGTGCATACAAAAACACTCATATTCTGTCACTGGTGTGAGCTCTGCCTTCGAGCTGATGTTGGATCATAGACTTCAGAGCGCTGTACCTGCAGAGGAGAGAAAACACACACGATTAAAGACTGTCGCTAACAGACTCCTACACTCTCCGACAGGCACTCAATTACTTACATTTAAATACATACATATAAAAAAAGAACATGTAAACTGTAAACTGAGGGATAAAAGCACCCCCAAGATCCCAATTGTTACAATGTGTTACTTGGACCCCTTCCTCACCCTGTCTATGGCTCTCAGACCCAAGCAGGAACTTAAGATGTAACGCTTTAAATACTTGCTCTGTAGTTTTTAGTAAACGTTACTCAAACAGGAGTAAACTTTGAAGGAAGGTAGCAGGAAGGTGACTAAAAAATAAACTACAGTGCCCATGTTCATTGCAATGAAGGAACATATCACTCAGTGCAATGTTGTGGCTCACTGATGTGTCAGTGGCACAGAGGAACCAGCTGACAGGTGTTACATGTTAGAAGGATCAATTCAATTGTTTTTTTTCATGGAATTTCTTGACATATAAAATCCTTTACCACTTGTAGTTACAATGAGTTTGTGCGTTTGAGCCCACATGTCGGAGATCAATGACACACACACAACACATAATATGAGGCGGAAATCTCAGTCATATGCGTTTTTGAATACACAATCTTGAAAACAGTGAGTGATGACTGTTTTTCACAAACACTATCCTCATTGAAGGTCTTGTTTTGATTCCATACTTCCGGCCTCAATCACAGATATTGGCTTCACATAATGAAATAGACCGTCATTAAAGAAGTCTTTGTCTAGACTGGAACCAATTTTGTAACTGTTTGCTGAGTGGAGAGACTCTTGACTTACTTTTTGGTCAGCTTGTTTATCTCACGTTCCTCTTCCTCTTTAAGTTTCACTACAAAGCTGTCTAAAACAGGAATTTCAAACTTTATGTATTGGGCAACCTGGGAAGAAAAAGATTCAAACATATCAGCACAAGCACATAACGTCTCTGGTCACAGCTGTCACTGGCATGGAGGCATAATACAATTATAAACTAAAGTAAAAGTTATACTAAAGGTAAAAATACTAAAAGGTGACCTAAGTTGCATGTCTACACACAAGAGGCTTTCCAGTAGAAGGTAAAACACATAGAATAGCTAACAAGATTGCATTCACCTCCACTGTGTTGGAGTGAAGTAAGAAAAAATATGTGTATGTTTACAAACCCTACATATAAAAACAAAACTATGGCTAGATATAGAGGTAAATTATTTGGATGAACTGACCCTTTAACTTGTGTTACTGAGTTGACAATCCAGAAACGTTCTCCAGCAACAGCTTTTATTTATTACCCAGGTCAGTCACAACAAAATGCCGTCGGCCATCTTAGCCTATTGTCAGTCCCGAAACAGGATATCTTTCCTCGGCTTTCTAAATTTAACCCAACTGTTCATTGTATCATTCTGTGTCTATGTTTAGGACAACACAAAATAGACAAGAGGACATAGAGAGTGGTGGCAGTAGGCCCAGACTCACATCATATGTAACTTCCTCTCCCAGGTCTGCCTCTGTGATCAAGATTTTGGAGATCTTCTCACAGGGACCATAAAGCACACGAGCCACCAGTGGGTATTCACCATCCCTCAGTCGGGTCCTTTCTACAACGATGTAGACAAATACAACAAGTGATAACAAACACACACAACACAACATTTCTACTGACAAAACCCCAATGAATAAGTTGGTAAGTTGGGTAATCGTAGCGAGTAATGGCAAATTACCTCCAGATTCGTGCACCATATAAAGGACAAACTCTTCAGATTTATTCTCCACCTTAAAAAGACACAAATACAGATTATGTCCGGTTCAACTGAAGGATCACTTGAGATGTAACGTGTGTCTTACTGCTTACTCTGAACTTGTGCAGCAGCAGGTTGAGGACTTGTCCAGTCGTCATGGAGCTGTTCACTCGTACGTTAGTGACCGATCCAAAGGCTGGAGTAAATACAGATGTCTGGAAGCAGGAGAAGCAAAAGTACACAAAGTATTAGGAACTTGGCTTCATCAACACTTAAGGGATTCCTGGAATTGAACTCCTTCGATATTTTGAGCGGGAAGGAAATCCATCAGTCCAAAGCTGGAATCTGTTCAATAAAAACACATTCAGGAGAAACTGATGAAGACACACATTGTACCTTTGTATTATGTGACATATTAATGAAATCAGCCCACAACAGGCTATTGTGAAACTCAGCACTAGTACAGGCACATCCGCACAGGAAACTTCTTCCCTTCTACACCTGGAAATGTGTCATCAACGGGATACATTAATGCGTGTGCGTGTACGCGTGTTGTGTTTATTGTACCTTGTGGTTGTAAAAGTGTCCGTTGATTGAGAACCGGTGTGTTCGCAAGCGCTGCAAATCTTTGGCAGTGTGTGTCTTTGACCTCCTCTGAACCCGCATGAAGGAGGCGTCACTCCTAGTCCTCAGCAGCTGAGGAGAATCCTCCTCCTCCTGACCACACATGTGACCACCTCAGAGTAAACAAAAACACTTTTCTTTTAAAGTATGCATTATATACATCAGCAGCTATGCATGGCAGTTACACTGAAAACAAGTTACAAAACATTTGCGAACAGTTTTACATAAAGATGGATCAGCATATGGTGTTCCACATGCTCGGTATTCACATTTTGTCTGATGCCTGGCCCAATTTTGTGAGTAATTTTGATAATCAAATATGTTTGGAGGATTAAATGACAATTACTATATACTTTTATTCAATTAGTTCAGACTAATTTATACTAACTTAGTCAATTAATTCAAATCTGTTTGTTTTGAACCAAGGAACCAAACATTTTGCCACTTCATTATATTTTCAAGGATAAAAACAAAGAATTTGCTGCATACTAGTCTCCCCATTTCATGATTAACATCTCTTGATTCATTTACAGAATTTGACCAATATTTGACACCAGTTTTATAACCAGTGTAGCCAATATCTTTGTTGAATTAGTATGTGCTATTTATGATAAACAATTTCTGAAAAATCCTTTTTATCTAGCGTATCAATGTGTCCGTATCCAAGACAGATACTTGTCACCCTCCATCACATATCGTTGAGGTGATCACCAACATCATCGCCTCTTAAATTATGTTTAAATGGTTTCAAAGTGTATGTGACTTTTTCCATTCCCATAAAATGCGCCTTGTTTTTAACACAGACGCCAATGTTAAGTCAATCAGTTTTCTTTAGGGTTATAAGTAACTTTGTTGTTGTACACACACACACACACACACACACACACACACACACACACACACACACTCACATATATATGATTTGCTAATTCTTAACAGGGGGACGGAGAAAGAGAAAGGAAAGTCACAATTAAAGATCTGTCTGCTACTTCAGCACCGCGGACAGCGCCGTGGATTTCTCAATACATATACAGTATATAAACATATACTTTTGCTCTGTGTGTGAGTTCAATAAAAATAATTCTGAATTCTAAATAATTTGAAATCCTCTAACACAGGGGTATTCAATTAAAATTCCAAAAGGTCCAGATTGAGAAAATGTCCTCGGGCAAAGGTCTGGAACATTACAATAATATCTAACTTGCGATATATATTTTAGAAAAATGAATTTCACTGAATTGTCCTGCAGCTTTAAATTCAGTTCATTCAGGTGTGAAGTGATGTCAATCAAAAAAGCCACGATATTATATTTCTCTCATCTTCTAAAAAGATAAAGTGAGCATGGACTTTATCGGTGGTTATTAAACCACTTGTTTCAGCTCTATTCTCTCTGTTAACATCATTGTTGGTCAGTGAATTCATGCGTTAGGATTCTGATCATATTGGACTCTTAGGTTTATTTTCTGTCTTCATTTAGATGTGAGTGGGTACGTTTGCTCAAAAGAGTTGTGCTTTGCCTCGTAGTGGCGCTTCATTTACCGCTTTTAATAATCGTCACGGTCTCTAAACATATGAGACACACTGGTTATAAACTGTCCGTGTGAATAATTAACCTATAAGAGTCTGTTCATTCTTGGTTAAAGACTCTGGTCTCTTTGACCACTTTTCTCTTTTTGGAGAACGTCACGTGAAATAACTTCTCTGACTCACGGCGGCTGGGTCCGGATCCGGACCGCTTGTCCGCCAATTGGCGACCCCTGCTCTAACAGCATTAAGATCATCATGTGACAAACCCAGACAAATGATCTGAGTTAGCAGAGGAGTAAATGTTAAGTAGTCTAACCCTGGTTATTTATAGAGTTAGTGATCTGATCTAGGTGGCATCTCATGCTAATCTGTGCTCAACATGGGAGCCAACCTTTCCAATGGAAATGTTCAATTAAACACGTGTGGCGCTCTAATCTGTTTCAACATGTGTTTGTAATCTACATTAATCAATCAAGTGTGTGTGAGTGTGTGAGAATGACTGCACGTGTGCTACTCACTAGCTGGTCCACTCTCTGTGCCCGGTGAGTTATTGTTAGACTCCGCTGAGAGCTGCTTTGCCAAACCCGATCTATCGTTTCTATAGAAAGACAGAGGAACAATGTCTTTATTGTTTGTTAACATTTATAGCACTCTCTATATACCATACTTGTGGAAATGAAGCTAAAGCCGGGGGACACTTAGCTTAGTTTAGTTCAAAGACTGGAAGCAGTTATGTTGATAACTCATTTGTTGTTTGTTTGTTGTTGGTAGGCTTTTACCTTTGGTTACTCCCTTCTTCCAGTCTTTATGTTAAGCTAAACTAATTTAGCTAAATGCATCCAGGTGTTTGCTGAGCTAACTTTCCTTGTTTTTAGTTCCAACCCGGTGAAGAATATTTTCATTGTAGATAAATCTGCCATCTGCAATCAATTCCTTGTTCAATTCATTCATCGTTTTGCTCATAAATGACTGAAACAGTGAGAATGATGGATTCAATTTGCTTGTTTTTAAAACCCAAATATATTCACTTTATAACTCTGCCAAGGAGCTTATGAATATCATACACACATTTGAGAAGTTGGAACCAGTGAATGTTTAAAATTTGTTGCCAATGCAAAAAGAAAATGATGTATGTAGCTTTTGCATGTTGTTCTTTAATTTGTTATTTTGTTTCAGGCCTAACTATTCATATTTCATTCACTGTTACATGCTGTAACATGTCAATCTCTTATTGTATACAGCCAAATCTTTAGTACAACACCATCAGGTGTAGGCCTACCACACAGGTAAAAGGAGTTTTCCTAGTTTCCTTAAGGGTGGGGACGCTGATGAACCACAAGGTCAGTGAGTCTAGTCTGTCTTTGTCTGCTACTGTGTGAGAGATCCCTGTTGCCAGTGTTGTAGTCACACGTCCCACATCTATTTGTTCAACACATGAAGTCATCTGTGTCGGTCTGGACCGAGTTGTCATACCGGTTGAGACGAAATCTTTCATTGTCGTCGTACATCTGAAGTCTGATTGGTCGGCGCAGACCCCAGTAGATGTTCAGCAAACCCTCAAGGATTAGCTCGCCATCCTCCTACACACACACACACACACACACACACACACACACACACACACACACACACACACACACACACACAAATAAAAATGATCATCAGCACTCATGGTCAGAGGGGATATCCTGCTGGCCGCCTGCCACAGCAGCTCAATATCAGGTGTACGTGCAGGAACATTCGCTCACAGTTACAGGGTGAACCCTCTCATCTTGGAGAAATTGCGTCAGGTTTTTGACCCACCCTTTTTTTACACAGTACAAGGGTGAAGTCACGTCTGAGAAGGCAGCGATATTGAAGACAGAGACATGACTGCTTTGGGTCACGTATACACGCAGGGGGAGATGTTTTGATTTCACAGAACTGAAACTCTAAATTTGGAAGAAAACCCTTTTGTTCTGAATACAGAAATAAAACAGTGTCACCCGGTTTTTCAGTTGGCTTATGAATGTAAAAAAATTATGAATAAAGCATGTTGGACTGAATAGTGAAGCCTGAGATCAAGTCTTTTGTGCACATATTGTAAATGAACCAGTAATGATTCAAATTTGACAGCACAACTGTGACTGTTATAATCACAGATCAGTTTCCTTCATCTCAAACAGCTTTTTATACCATCACAATAACTTATGTGATACTCCGGAATACAATGTAGATCTTTTAACACAATTCTGCCAATGGAAAAAGTCTATAAATCTATTCGTCACAGAGATTTTAACACCAAAGTGAAACTGATTCCTGTCAGAAGGCAGTGTGAAGTGTTCACCCTGTGGCCTTTCTGGTTAAATCCCAAGCTATTTAATGTCAAAATAAATTGTGAGCTCATTAGAGATAAAGGGTGAATAATTTGCAGTTGTGGAATGTAAGTACATTTACTCAAGTACTTTTTTGAGGTACTTGAGTATTTCCATTTTATGCTGCTTTATATTTTCACTATACTTTTACTTAAATAATGCAGAGTATTTTTACTACCGTAGTATTACTAATTTATTCAAGTAAAATATCTAAAATGCTTCTTGATCTCCTGATTATTTGTGAACAACTTGTCTGAAGGTAGAAGACCAAAAAAAATCAGCTTGGTGCCTGTAACTTCTGTTAGAGTCCAAAAAGTACAAAATTTTTTCCAAAACAGGTGTGTGTGGACCTTTTCAGGAATATTTTAGCAATTAGGCTGACAGAGAAATTGCAAAAAACTATTTTGACTTAAAATAATCACAAACAAAACCAAAAGGCATGAAACCAAGGAACACTGATCAACCACGTTGGTTGTAGTTAAAAACTGTGCAAATTAAGATTTAGTATACGTATTTAGTATTCCTGTTGTCTCGGACCATGGGACCCCTGACACACTAATGCATGCATGAAAGTAGTTCATATGAGGATCTCAGACTGCTTTTTCCACGAACAACTTAAGGAGCTGAACTAATTATTTATGCTGAGCCTCTAGATCAGGGGTCTCAAACTCAAGGCCAGCAAATCTGCCAGCAAAAAAAAAGAAAAAGTTTTTAAAAAAAGTTTAAAAAAATAAATAAAATTAAGTTAGACTTGATAACAAAAATATCCACATAGTCGAAATTATGAGATAGAAAGTCATAACTATGAGATACTTAAACACACAGTCATAGAAGCAGCTCTTTGGCTGGTTACTGTACACTTGATATGGAAATGTTGATGTGGCCCAGAGTGAAAATGAGTTTGAGACCCCTGCTCTAGATGTATGCCTTTGTGTTTATAGACTGTTAATGGTTTCATTTCGATGGATAACTTCTGATCGTTATGTCACAATTGCACGGCGGTGGGATTAACAGGAGGCTTGTCAGTGAGAAAAGTGCAAACTACTGAAAGAATAATAATACTGGAGATGAACAGTCAGTTTAGTGCCATTCTTAGATGGATTTTAATTGTAATGCTGAAATGTCAGAGAAAAGAGAGAAGAAGCAGAAAGCGGGTTTTGGGAGGTGAGGCAGATTGCTCCCAGGGCTTCATTGTTTCTGGAATACAAACAGTCAGAGCAGCTGCACCGCTGAACCCTGCTGACCCGCCACTCCTGAGTTTCCTGAACAGCCATGAACACACCCTCTCTCACACACACACACACACACACACACACACACACACACACACACACAC